CCAGATTACTTGACCCAGATTAGTTAAACCAGATCAGTTGAACTAGATCAGTTGAGCCAGATTAGTCAAACCAGATTACTTGACCCAGATTAGTTAAACCAGATCAGTTGAACCAGATCAGATGAGCCAGATTAGTTGAACCAAATCAGTTGAGCCAGATCAATTGAACCAGATTAGTTAAACTAGATCAGTTGAACTAGATCAGTTGAGCCAGATTAGTCGAACCAGATCAGTTGAACCAGATTAGTTAAACCAGATCAGTTGAACTAGATCAGTTGAACCATATTAGTCAAATTAGATTAGTTAAACCAGATTACTTGACTCAGATCAGTTGAACCAGATTAGATGAACCAAATCAGTTGAGCCAGATTAGTCGAACCAGATTAGTTAAACCAGATCAGTTGAACCAGACTGGTTGAACCAGATTAGTTTAACCAGATCAGTTGAACCTGCCTTCTGTTTGCAGGGAACCTACAGCAGTCCACTGAACATCCGTCAGACCTTTAAGGTGAGAGGAGACATTGTTTAATCATATTGAAGGTAAATGTTTTGTCATCAATGTCTGACCTCATTGACCTTTGACCCCAGCTTTCGGAGAAGCAGTACTTTGTGACGGCGTTGGCGGCGCGGGCGAAGCTGAAGGCGTGGTTGGACGTAGATGCTCTATTCACCAGCAGGAACTGGCTCGGCTTCACCAAGAAGAAGTCACCCCTCAGCTTCCAACGAGTTGTCGACATCCTGCAGAAAAACTCCGCCCCCACACAGGTGAGGTGGGCGGGGCCAAAATAACATTACTCACAATAAAAACAGGTGTTGTCCAGGTGTTTGATTGGCAGGAGGAAGAGGTAAAAAAGAGAGCTGTGTTTTTACAACAGGTGTATTATGTGACTGACAGGTGTGTTATGTGACTGACAAGTGTGTTGTGTGACTGACAGGTGTGTTATGTGATTGACAGGTGTGTTATGTGATTGTTATGTGACTGACAGGTGTGTTATGTGATTGACAGGTGTGTTATGTGATTGTTATGTGACTGACAGGTGTGTTATGTGATTGTTATGTGACTGACAGGTGTGTTATGTGATTGTTATGTGACTGACAGGTGTGTTATGTGATTGACAGGTGTGTTATGTGACTGACAGGTGTGTTATGTGATTGACAGGTGTGTTATGTGATTGACAGGTGTGTTGTGTGATTGACAGGTGTGTTATGTGACTGACAGGTGTGTTATGTGATTGACAGGTGTGTTATGTGATTGACAGGTGTGTTATGTGATTGACAGGTGTGTTATGTGATTGACAGGTGTGTTATGTGATTGACAGGTGTGTTATGTGATTGACAGGTGTGTTATGTGATTGACAGGTGTGTTATGTGATTGACAGGTGTGTTATGTGATTGACAGGTGTGTTATGTGATTGACAGGTGTGTTATGTGATTGACAGGTGTGTTATGTGATTGACAGGTGTGTTATGTGATTGACAGGTGTGTTATGTGATTGACAGGTGTGTTATGTGATTGACAGGTGTGTTATGTGATTGACAGGTGTGTTATGTGATTGACAGGTGTGTTATGTGATTGACAGGTGTGTTATGTGATTGACAGGTGTGTTATGTGATTGACAGGTGTGTTATGTGATTGACAGGTGTGTTATGTGATTGACAGGTGTGTTATGTGACTGACAGGTGTGTTATGTGATTGACAGGTGTGTTGTGTGATTGACAGGTGTGTTATGTGATTGACATAACACAGGTGTGTTATGTGACTGACAGGTGTGTTGTGTGATTGACAGGTGCTGCAGGACTACGTGGCGCTGGTTGATGATGCGGAGCTGAGGATCACTTTGGCTCAGAAACATAAATGTCACGACATCGTCATCAACGTGAGACTGTTTACATTCTTACTGCTCTCTGATTGGACGATTATTTAATGAACCACTCAGAATCAAATGTCCTCTGTGAAACCTGACACCTGTTGATATTATTGATGCAATGTGATACTGTGATGTCATGATGACTACGTGTCTCTGGGCCAATCAGACGTACCGGGACCTGAAGGACCGGCAGCAGTTGCTAGGATACCGGGCGAAGGTGGAGAGAGGGTCGGCGGAGGAGAGGAAGATTGATGAGCTGCTCAACAACCAGGTGAGGAGGAGGAGTCATCTTCATCGTCTTCCTCCTGTGACCTGTCTCACGTCTTTTCTTCTTCTCTTTCAGCAAATCCGGTGGAAGAACTGAACGTTTAACTAAAGATTTTTACTTTGAAAGAAAAGAGGCTGTTTCCTGTGCGAAGAGATGAGCCGTCACCGTGACAACAGGAACGTCCTGTCAGATCACGCCCGCTTCATCCTCATTGGTCGCAGAGAGGAGTGTTCAGATTGTCCCCGCCCACAGAACTCTGGGTGGGTGGGGTTTATATTTCTGCTGAGTCATCTCAGAGCCATCACAGAGTCATTGGCGAGTCAGCGACAAGACATCACAGAGTTATTGCCGAGTCGTCGCTTCAACATTCCTAAAACAATAAAGTCATTTAAAAATGTGAATCAAGTCTTTTTATACTGGAGGAGGAGAGAAGGAGGAAGGAGGGAGGAGAAAGGAGGGAGGGGAGGAGGAAGGAGGGAGGAGAGGAGGAGAAAGGAAGGAGGGAGGAGATGAGAAAGGAGGGGGGAGGAGAGCGGTAGGAAGGAGGGAGGAGGGGAGGAGAAAGGAAGGAGGGAGGAGATGAGAAAGGAGGGAGGAGAGGGGTAGGAAGGAGGGAGGAAAGGGGTAGGAAGGAGGGAGGAGAGGAGGAGAAAGGAGGGAGGAGAGGGGTAGAAAGGAGGGAGGACATGAGGAGGGGAGGAGAGGAGGGTAGAGAAAGGGAGGTGGAGAAAGTGAAAAAAGAGAAAGGAGGAAATACAGAGAAGAGGAAAACGAGATAGCGAAGGAAAGGAGGGGAAGAGGAATTATTGAAAGAAAAGAGGAGATAGAGAAGGAAAGGAGGTGATTGAGGTAGAGAAGGAAGTAAGGAGGGAGAGAATGAAAGGAGTAGATGGAGAAGGCAAGGAGGAGAGGAGGAACAGGTAGAGAAGGAAATGTGGAGTAAGAAATGAGGGGAAGAGGAATTATTGAAAGGAATGAGGAAAGGAGGAGGAAGAGAAGGAAGAGGACAGACAGAAGGAAATAAGGGGGTAGAGAAGGAGAGGAGGAGACAAAGAAGGAAAGGAGGAGAGATGGAAGAGAGGAGGAGTCGTCCTGCAGTAACAAAACGCGGCCACAAGATGGCGGCGGTTTCTTTCAACATTTCTAAGTTGATGGTAGTTGTTAATATGACGTCATTCAGTGATCGCCGATCGATCAGAGTGATTATTGATGATCAATTCTGATCAGCTTCCGGTTGTTTTTCCATCAGAAGATGACAGGGATGAATAAATGAAGATGAAGCGATGAATTAAAGATGAATGAATGATGCTCCTCCTGGAGTCTCTGCTGTCACGTGACCCGCAGCGGCACCCGTCACGTCACTTCATTGAGAGTCAGACGGCACGAGGAGGAGACACACGGAGGATGCACGCGACCGCGGTGAGTTTTTACTTTTTAATTAAATTTACTATCAAAGGTTCACACCTGTGTAACTTTACACGGTATCAGAGTATCATCTCAGTACTCGGATACTCAAGTACACAGAGTATTACTGTCATATTAAAATCAATATATAATCAATACAAACAGCTATCACATGATGATCATAAAATACTTGAGTAATATATCTGTGATATTTATACTTCACACACAGTCAGAGTCTCTGTTGTAATAATCAATAATCAATGAATCATTTATTAATTCTCTATAAATATAAAAACAGTTTAGCAGGTTGTGATAAATATATATTAATATTAATAACAACGGAAGCAGTGGGGAAACAAACACTGGTCAAATATGTGATAAATAAAGATTATTGATTTACTTATTTATGATCAGTGTATTAACAACAAACAGCAGTCCAACATTAATAAACTGATTTTACATAAATAGATTTTTTCAGTAGGCTATAACTAAAATATATTCAATAATGAATAAAATCTCTGAGTCCATTTATTAGATATGTTTTTACTGTAATATAAAATATGAAATACTTTATAAATACTTTGATATATAGATATAATGGGGGGGGGGGGGGGGGGGCACTGCTTTGACACTCACAAGACAAAAATAATAATAACATGATCATGTATTGATACTGCAGATCAATAATATAAATAACAACAGTAATCGTCTGCTGTCATTTGAGCTTCTTATTAAACAGTTAATCAATAAATTTGCTTCGTACGTGAACCGATCGATGATCAATAATATTCAGACAAACATGTTTGTTTTTGAAGCATCTGTTGTTCATCATTATTTAATTCATGTTTCAGCAAAAGAGGTCAGTGATCAATAATTCAAACTCAGCCCCGCCCACCTCCAACATTCAGAGCACCTGATTGGACGCTGCTGTCACTCACAGTTTGATTGACAGATGTTTTAAAAACAACTTTAATTTATTCAGTCTGTTAAAATTTAATTATTGATCAGAGGTGGACGGACATGAACTCGTACGTCGCTGATCTTCTGCTGCTCTTCGTCGGGAGTCACAGCCGCCGCGTGGAAAAGATGTTTTTGTTCGTTTTTCAGACACAGTGAGGTCAGAGAGTAACGAGCCAATCACAGCACAGCTGCTGTTTCCAGTAGAGACAAAGAACATCAGAGAGGATGATGGGAGATTAGTCTCAAACAGCTGCTTTTATCTTTATGTTGAATTAGACGACTGAACTTGAGGATGACACACACACACACACACACACACACACTTCTGTGGTTTTGATTCTTTCCTGGTTCAATAAAATAAAATCACAAATATTTGTTATTATTTTTTTCTCAGTTTAAAACAATTAAAAAGAAAAACAATCACATGTTTTAATAAAAAGTCAAATGATTGAACTATTGTATGAAAACCACTCATCTCCAGGTCAGACAGTGACGCACTGAATCTGGAGATATATGGTTTCCAGCAGACGTTTCACAACGTGACACCCAGAAAGAGTCTGAGAGACGTTATTGTGGCGGGGACTTCCTGCTGACTGTCAGACAGGAAACTGAAACACTGATGGAACATTTCAAACAGTGATTCAGGTCCTGATGCACATTTTATTTTCTCGGCAGCGACAGGAAGTCAGTCGTCATCGACTGATCGGACGATGATGATTAAAACTGACAAACTTTAATCTGATGTGAAAATCAAAAACCATAAGATGACTTCTCAGAAACAATTTGAGGCGCTGTCTGTCAGACCACATGATAACAATTAGTAACGGTGATAAGTGAGGAAATGTGTCACTGAAGACTGAAGAGTTTATCGGCTCAGATAATCAGTTCAGATTTTCTTCATTGAGTCGAAGTTATCAAACGTCCCTGAGACATTTTTTTTAAAGTTGTCAGTCTGACACCGTCTCCACCAAACCCTTTCAGTCCAGCACCTGTGGAACCAGCAGTAAGCCTTCAGACATGGTACCTAGACCCTCGGTGTGTTCAGACAGTCCTCTTAAATGTGGGCGGGGTTGTTGTCACTCACTGCTCCGTCCAGCACTCTCTGTATTTCCTCATCAGCGGTGACACAGATGGAAGTCTGCACCTGGTTTATCGTCCACAGAACGAGGCTGCACGCCCACATTTTCACAACAAAATAGAACAGGCTGCAGTGAGAGTCTCTCTCCATGGGATATTTAAAAATAGCAGCTTTGTGCATTTAGTCCTTCTCAGGCAAGCTCAGGGGTTTAGTGTTGCTGTAGCCCACAGGAAGTGAGGATTAGAATATATGACCTTCACATAATCCGCTCCAAATTAATCTATATTTTTAAAGTCATTACTAAAAGTGTGTGTCATATAAAAACTAAAGTGATGGTCAAAGTTGTCACAGTGAAATTTAAGGTGTGCTGATGGATTCACGTCATCAACTCATGCATTGAGTAACATTACAAGTTAACGTTCCACCTTAAAAGTTGCCGGCAGTCGGCCCAGTGAATGAAGTGATTTTTTTCTCTTTCATTTTATAGTTGTAGTTTACTGATGTATGAACAGAGGTTACATAAAACCAGAGTGAGCGTCCTCTACTGACCAATCAGACTGCAGGGTTTCTAGCTCCACCTTTTAGTACCAGATCTGTGTGCTAGGTACCCCAACAGAGGGGGGACCAAACATGGGGACGCTAAGGAACGCTTCTGTTGGAACCATCCATAACTTTCACTGTGGAGACAGAAAAAAATTAATTAAATTAACTGAACTGCTCAGCCTTCATCAGCAACATCATCATCATCATCATCATCAGCCGACAATAAGACTGAAAACCCAGAGACGTGATGATGATGGTACTGATGATGTGGAGATGATAACAGCTTGTCTCTGAATCTCACTTCTGATTCTGTGACTTCTATTTTTTGTCTTCTTTGTCAAACTGATCTTGAATCTGATTGGTCGTCTCTGTCTTCCTGCAGACATCATGCACGAGTCTCCGACAACCGAGACACTTCCTCTGACGAACACCACTAGTTCCTCTTTGTGCGAGCCTCTGTATGAAGAGGGCCGTCTGCCACTGGTGCTGCTGTACAGCCTGGTGCTGGCGGTAGGACTGCCCGCCAACCTGCTGACCATCTACCTCACCTGGCTGCAGGTGTGCAGGAAGAACGTGCTGGGCGTTTACCTGTGGAGCCTGTCGCTGTGTGACCTCACCTACCTGGGAACATTGCCGCTGTGGGCGCACTACGTCAGCAGAGGTCACTTGTGGTCATGGAGCTCAGCCGCCTGCAAGCTAACGGGCTACATCTTCTTCAACAACATGTACATCAGCATCTTCCTACTCTGCTGCATCTCCTGTGACCGCTACGTCGCCGTGGTCTACAGTGTCGAGTCCCGTGGCCTCCGCCGACAGCGACATGCTGCCCTAATCGCTCTTGGCATCGTGTTGCTGGTCGCTGTCGGTCACGCCCCCGTCTTCACCATGACGGAGGGCGACGCCGCTGAGAGCGACCGCCGCTGCTTCGAACCAAGTCAGAGCAGCGCCAAGGTGACGGGCTTCAACTACGCCCGCTTCATCATTGGCTTCCTGATCCCGCTGCTGGTGCTGGTGGTGACAAATCGGGGCATCCTGGCCAATGTGCGGCGCAGCACAGGGCTGCGGCAGGAGCAGAAGGAGCGCGTTCGCTGGCTGGCCCTGGCGGTGGTGGTGCTGTTTCTGGTCTGCTTCGCCCCATACCACGTCATCCTGCTGGTCCGAGCCATCCTCTTCCACTTCCCCGAGGACAGCACCTGTCTGTTTGAGAGGACGATATACACACCCTACACCATCTCACTCGGCCTGTCCACCATCAACAGTGCCGTCAACCCCATCCTCTACGTCCTGTCCAGCGACAACATCCGCAAAGAGCTGAGCCGAGGCCTCATGCGGGTCTGTGACCGAGCGCACCTGAGACCACGATCAGACAGCAGCCAGAACAAGATCCAGCCCAACAAGAACTCCTCAGAGCTGCAT